TTAAAAGCATAAATGGCTCAGCACCTGTAGCTCAGCCACAGCACTCTACCCAAGGCAACAGCTTGAGTCTCTGTCTCAAAATAAAAATATGCTTTCTTTTAAAGCATAAATGGCTCAGCACCTGTAGCTCAGCAGCTAGGGCACCAGCCACATACACTGGAGCTGGTGGGTTCGAACCTAACTAGGGCCTGCCAAACAACAATGACAACTACAACCCAAAACAAAAAAATGCCAGGCTTTGGCCTGCCAGGTTTTGTGGCAGGCGCCTGTAGTCCCAGCTACTTGAAAGGCTGAGGAAAGAGGATCGATTAAGCCCTAGTTTGAGGTTGTTGTGAGCTGTGACACCATAGCACTCTACCCGGGGTGACACAGTGAGACCCTGTCTCAAAAAAATAAAAAAGCAGGGTGGTGCCTGTGGTTCAGTGAGTAGGGCGCCGGCCCCATATACCAAAGGTGGTGGGTTCAGACCTGGCCCAGGCTGAACTGCAACCAAGAACTAGCCGGGCATTGTGGAGGGCGCCTCTAGTCCCAGCTACTTGGGAGGCTGAGGTAGGAGAATCGCTTAAGCCCAGGAGTTGGAGGTTGCTGTGAGCTGTGACACCACAGCACTCTATCAAGGGCAATAAAGTGAGACTGTCTCTACAAAATAAATAAATAAATAAGCATAAATGATGCAGGGACCAGGATGAATCTCCCAGTTATTGTGCTTAGTGCAAGAAAGCTCTCACAAAGGGTGCAGACTGCATGCCTCCATATATAACAACTCTAGAAAAGGTGAAACCCAAGTAAAGACAGGCTGTGCGGATGAGGTAAGGACAGCCTGAGATGCAACAGGAGGAATTTTCTGGAGCGAGGGCAGTTCTCTGCTGCTGGGAGTCTGGGTTATAGTGGATGCCCCATCAAAGCTCATTAATAGCCACACTGACGACCCCCGGACTCTTCACTGCATGTAAATACCACCTCCATGAAACAGAACACTCCCACATCCGCTCCCCTTCCCTCCAGAGAACACCACAAGCTAACATTTACTGGGTCTGCCCAGCCACCTGCCCTATCCATGTGCTGTGTCATTTGATCCTCAGGGCCATCCAGGAGCTGCATGCTCAGCCCCCATGTCCCCACATGAGGAAGCCCCTTCCCGCAATCCTGTGAGCCTCTACTCCATGGCTCACGGTATAGAGGGATGTCATCTTTAGCTATGGACACAGGAACCCCCCACCCATTTAATTTCCTGACTGGCACTGAGCCTGAGAGCAGAGCAGCCTTGGGGAGACCTGGTCCATCTCTCCCTGCTCCTCCTCAAAGGCTAGGCAGCCCTTAGCACATCTCCAGAGGGCAGTCAACCCCCAGGCCAAGAACTCCCGTCAGGTTCTGCATCTGAGATTGCTTCATCCACTGACCCAGCTCTCACTAGCCAAACAGCCAAAGGGAAGAGGAGAGGTAGGGACTGGGCTTCCAGTACCCCTCAAGGCCCTAACCACCGCCTGACCTTAGAGCAGCACCCCCGGGGCCCACTGGCCCAGGGTCCCATGCAAGCTGAGGCCTCACTTGCCTCAGGGTAGAGGCTTTAAAAGTCCACATAGACGGCTCGACGCCTGTGGCTCAAGTGGCTAAGGTGCCAGCCAAATACACCTGAACTGGCAGATTCAAATCTAGCCCAGGCCCACCAAACAACGATGGCTGCAACCAAAAAATAGCCAGGCATTGTGGCAGGTGCCTGTAGTCCTAGCTACTTGGGAGGTGGAGGCAAGAGAATTGCTTGAGCCCAG